ATCAATGATGAGAGAGTATCATTGATCGGCTACCTCCTGCATGCCCCCTACTGGGGATCGAGCCTGCAACTTGGGCATGTGCCCTTGACTGGAATTGAACCCGGGACCCTTCAGTCCACAGGCTGATGCTCTATCCACTGAGCCAAACCAGCTAGAGCCACACTTCCCTTTTATCAGAAAGTCCTCCTTACAAACTTTCCCACCAAGTCTAATGCTTCCCCACAATATACCACATTTTATTTATCCATTCTTCAGTTGGACCTTTAGGTTGCCTTTACTTTTTCTAGCTATTATGAATAATGCTACTATGACCATTCATGTATGATTCTCTGTATGGACATATATTTTAATTTATCTCAGGCATATATCTAGGAGTAACATTGTGTCATGTGGTAGCTCTATGTTTAATCTTTTGAGGAGCTGCCAGACTATTTTCCAAAGTGACTGTATCTCTGTATGCTCCTCCCAATAGCATGTGAGAGCTCTGATTTTTCCACTTCCCAGCCAACATTTATTATTGTCTTTTCAATTATATCATCCTAGTGGGTATGAAGTGGACCTCATTGATTTTATGTGTATCTCCCTAATGATTAATAATGTTGAGCATCTTTTGTATGCTTATTGGCCATTTTAACACTTCCTTTGGAGAATATCTATTGAAATCCATTGCCCATTTTCAATTCAGCTATCTTTTCATTATTGAGTTGTAAGAGTTCTTTGTATATTCTAGGTACAAGTATCTTGTTAGAGATATGATTTGCAAAAATTTTCTTCCACTCTGTAAGTTGTCTTTTCACTTTCTTGATGGGTTCTTTGAAGCACAAAAGTTTTAAATTTAATGATACTCAATTTATCTATTTTTTAATTTTTTGCTTGTGCTTTTAGTGTCATATTTAAGAAACTATTACCTAATTTAAAATTATGAAGATTTATGCACATGCTTTCTTGTAAGAGTTTTAGAATTATACATTTAGATCTTTGATCAATTTTGAGTTAATTTTTCTATTTGATGGAAGATAAGCATGCAATTTTATTTCTTTGCATATAAGTATCCAGTCATCCCAGAATCATTTGTGGAAAAAACTATTTTTTTCCTCATTGAATTGTCTTGGTACTCTTGTTGAAAATCAGTTTACCATTATATGAGGGTTTATTTCTGAACTTTTCATTCTATTTCATTGATCTATATATTTCTTCTTATGCTCAATAGATTTACATAGGACCTTCTACTGCTCACCCAGTGATATTTAATTAATTGAGGAAGCAAGTAATAAAGTTTTAGGAAGGACACTAATACTTGTAACTGAAGCTTAGGAAGAAATTAACAATCAAATGTCCAGAAAGCAGAAAGCAAGATAGTCCCAAGAAGCTCAACAGCATCTCTCTGCAGTTCTGCCATTATTGAATCAGCTCAAAGGATCCCCAGTCATTGTGTCTCTTTCCCAAGTTTCAAATTCTCAGGTGAGAGAATCTGATTGGTTTACTTGGGTGAGATGTCTTCCCTTAAAACAATTCATTCTGGTTGGGAACAGAGTTGCACAGTATAGATGTTGCTACTGGGAGCCTGCCCCTTTGTTAGGAGGTACACAAATGCATCTCACTCCTGGGCCATTGCAGCACCAGTTTAACTTTTCTCCCTGTCTCTAAGTCTCTCTTCTCTTGCTACCACTAAATTATGAGACTCTTAGTGTTAGTTCACATTCCTGATGTTATGTGTGGTCTCTCCTTAGGGAAGTGAACTGCCTAGTGAAATGGAATTTTTGGACTGGAACACGCAGTGTTCCCCTGGGCAGATTGGTTCCCGTGTTCTTTGTCCATGGGAATCGAAGAATGAATCCACTGATGGAAGGTGGTATAGCAAAGGTGGAAATTTATTGAAGAACAAGTACAGACTCCCACGTGGGGAAGGGGAAAGAATCTCACAGCACAGACTCCCACGTGGGAGGAGGAAAGGGTCCCACAGAATGGACTCTCACGTGGGGAGGGGGAAGAGTCCCACTGAGTCCCTGTTTCCATGGTTTATAAAGGCTGTAGATCTTGGTGCCTTGATATCCCCTCTGATAGGTCATTTCCTTGGACTGGTTACTATAGTAACTTCTGAGTTCAAAGGTCGAACCTCACATAGGACATGTGAGGTTTTCCTCCTCTCCTTCCTTATTGTTTTCCTATTTCCTTTGGGGTTTCTTCTTCTCCTTCTGGATGAGGGGCTTCCTTCCCTTTGTTTTGTAAATATAGACCTTCTGCTGTTCCCAGCTCCCTCATTCTATGGAAATGTACCTGTTGCAGCTTTTCAGCTTCCCTAGTCTTTGGAAATATACCATCTGCTGCTCTGTAGCCCTGTGCTTCTTCTATGGTCCTCTTAATTTCTAAAATTTCCTAAACCTGTCTTTTTCACCCCTAAAAATTCCTATTTCACTAGAATCAATCAGCATTGAACCTGGAAGGCGGGCCTTAAGCAGACAGGTGAGGGAGCTGGGCCTTTCTTCAGTCTTTCTTAACTGGAAGAGTATGAAGGATTAAACCCCAAAGAAAGTGATTTGAGTGGTTATTTTCTCAGTTCTCCCAAGTTTATGTTTAATGTTTAAAATAGCCATTTTATTTTAGAATATATTTAGGTTGATAGAGAAGTTGTAAAGAAGTTTCCATATTCCCCAGACCAACTGTCCCCTATTAACATTTAAAAAAAAATCTTTATTCTTGAAAGTATTACATATGTCCCTCTCCCTCCCCCGCTCATTGTCCCTTTCTAGCCTGCCCTTGCCCCCTGTCCCAGGCCTTCATCACCCTATTTTCTGTGTCCATTGGTTATACATATATGCATTCAAGTTCTTTGGTTGATCACTTCCCACCCCCCCACCCGCCCCCACTTCCCCTCTGTGATTCCACATTCTGTTCCATGCTTCTATGTCTCTGGATCTATTTTGTTCATCAGTTTATGTTGTTCATTAGATTCCACATATGAGTGAGATCATGTGATACTTGTCTTTCTCTGACTCCCAAATTTCTCAGTTCTCTCACATTTATAGCTAGCTCCACCCTAGATGCATAGGAGAGAAGTTGATCTATTAAAAATACATCACATAGCCTTGGCCGGTGTGGCTCAGTTGTAGAAGTGTCATCCTATAAACCCAAAAGTCACAGGTTCAATTCTTGGTCAGGGCATGTGTGGGAGACAACTGATTAATGTTCCTCTCTCACATCAATGTGCCTGTTAGTGACACTTCATTTCTCAGCATAAAATGTTACATAAACTTTACATCCAGTTTAGTGCAAGAAATTGTTATTCATCATGTACAGGGTATCACTAGGAATTCATTTATCTAGGTTCATAGCCTTGTGTTCATAATAGCTACAGTTGAAGTCTTTGATTTCATTCTCCAGAGCAAGGAGGAAACCTCACAGATTATGATCCACATCCATGGAAATTTGGTCTCAAGAGAAGGGTAAATAAGACTAAAGTGAGCCAGAGTGACTCAGCATCCTATGCACTTAAAGGTTGCCAGTTTGATTCTCCAGTCAGAACATGTATGGAAGGCAACCAATCAATGTTTCTCTCTCACATCCATGTTTCTCTCTCTCTTCCTCTCTCTAAACATGCTTTTGGGTTAGGATTTTAAAAAATATCAGCCAACGTAAGTTTTATTCCCTATTTAATTCCCAAAGGGTACTTTTTGGTCTCCAGGAAACGTGCCATGCTGAATTGTTCATAAATTTCCTCCTAATAGAAATACTACACAAGAGACCACTTTTGTTCTTGCTCTGATTTCTCTCCTCCTCTTGTTTCCTATAGGAATTGGCATGAAAGCCCCAAACCAAAGGCTTACATGCTATGTCTAGGAACTGCAAGAAATGGGGGCAGGGAGCAGCCATATTCCATTCCCCCATCTTGGACAAGAGTGAGGAGCCTTGAGCTACAGACCCAGGGACGCCAAGAATCCAGACATCGCAGTGGTAGATCTCTGTGAGTAACAGAGCACACCCTCCTCCCTGCAGGCTCACCTGAGAGACCCACCCCTCTCCCGGGCCTCAGTGCTGCTAGAGGAGTCTTAGCCTGGAAGTGCACGAACACTGGGAACTTGCTCCTCGCAGCACGGGCTGCAGGAGTCTTGGCCTGGAAGTGCGCAAACACTGGGGGCTTGTTCCCCACAGCAGGGGCTCCGGGACCCCGATTCTCCTGGCAGGAGGCAGCACCAAGCACCAGAGACTTGACTGTGTTTCTTATCACCTGCACCTGGGATCCCTGATTCCCTGTGCATTCACACTAAGAGCCAGTGACTCCAATTCTTGGTGCATGCGCACACAGGGACCCTGATTCTCAATGCAAGGCCACCCGAAACAACAGAGACTCTGATACTGAATTCTTGGGGAACTCTGACTCTTGGCACACGCTAGGGGGCTCTGATTTTCAACACACTCCAGGGTGGTATCTGTTTCAGCATGGTGCAGGCGGGGTCCCTAATTCTAAGTGCGCACACGAGGCCACATTGAGCACTGGTAACGCCGACTCTGAGCAAGCCTAGTTCCCACCAACCCACCACAACCACACATCTTAGTGTCAGAGCTCTTCAGTGACACTAAGGTGGTGCAAAGCTCCCACTGCACACAGCCCAGGCCCACGAAACACGCAACTCGACCTTTGAACCATCTGGAGATAGTCAGAATGGGGAGACGACACAATCCCCAGAGGAAAGAAAATGAGGAGTCGCCAAGAAAGGAAATTAATGAAATTGAAGCATGCAACATGACAG